CAAACAGATGAACAATTTAAAGTCACGATGTTAATATGCAGTTGTTTTAGCGTATAGTTCCATTGCAGCTCTTTTCAGATGTTGCATTTGTTTTGGAATTTGGCATTTACTTTTGAACTGGTATCATTTCTGAAGTCGTATTGGCCATTATGCCCTCGTTGGACAGCGTATGATTAGCAATAGAAAATATTCCAACTTTTCAAATATAACGGTTTTGCCACCCTCTGTTTTCCACTTAGTTGATTTTATATTTGTGCATTTGTCAGAGAAAAAAAATGTAAAGACATCCACCTGGGGTCTGGTAAAATATGATTGGAATTTTTTTAAATATTTGTGGACCCCTTGCATAATAGTGGAAAAAAGTATTACTTCAGCCTTATTAACATAATTACAGCAGAGTGACGGACAAGCTGGCATCCCCTGTAGCTCAGTGATGTGGGTCAGCTGACAGGAGCATGCAACACACACAAATGCATTATTCAGTGTTGTGTAACAAAGCTTACATAACTCTCACTTAAACAGAAGCATCCCCCTTCAACCCATGTTACACACTGTGCATTTATTTGCATCAGTGACACAGATGCAGGACTTAATCCCAACAGCTGGATTGACCAGATAAAAGCCGTGACCTCAAGACAAATTCTGAGAAAAAAGCTCTCTATGTTACATGTCAATCTCTCAGCTGGGGGCTGACCACAGGACGTCACTTTTACAGAAAAAAACAAATCAGAGAGCTGTGACAACATTTGTGCTGTCTGCTGGCCAAAAAGCCTCAAGGTGGATTACACATTTGATTTGATGAGGGATCACTTCCTGTGATCTCATCAGTCCTATGACGTCTGGCAAAGGCTGGGCTCATCCTCTACAGTCAGCTTTATTGGGATTTACAAGGTCTCTGTCTCCCCTTTACCCACGCGTCTGCTGAGATTGTATCCTGAATTTGACACAAAACCCTCAAACAGAACCATAATCAAACACCTTTTAAACCCAACCCTTCAAAATAAGATGTAAATGCTTTTTGAAGACTTCTCTGCAGCTCCAGATATACAGTTTACAATATCCCCATAGCAGGAGGCTGAGCAGGTTACAGCAGTGTATTGGCGAGAGGTGGGGAACACTTGGGAGTGTTCACCAGTCAATTACAGGGCTGACGTATAGAGAACGAGAGCAATTTATAGACGACAATTAACCTAATGAGCATGTTGTTGGACCGTGGGAGGAAGCCAGACTACCTGGAGAAACTCAACACATGTACGAGGAGAACTTGTTAACTCCACTGCAAAATTTTGGCTGGGGATTCAAAGCAGGAACCTTCTCGCTCACCATTGCACCACTTTCTTTATTCCAACTAATCCTAACACAGTTTCAGCTTATTAAAATTTTTCAGATGCTTTCTTGCACAAGTGGCCTATATGGCTAAATATTTGATGAATTCAGTCTCACTCCAATATAATGTTTTAAAAGGGGCTCTATTACTGCATACAATGAAGTTTCTGGCATCAGCAAGTAATCCAATGGATGCAGTCACAGTTATGATGAAATAGTGGAAAAGAACAACATAAGAGTCCAAAGCAGCTTCATTACATTCACGTCTTGCTTGTGGTAAATGTTCCTGATTATTACCTGCTGCGTTCAAACATCAGCTTAAATAGTACCAAGGAGATGACTGGAAACGTTTTGTAAAATGTGGGGTTTGAAAAATGTGGTTGTTTGCGTTCAGACATGCAGCTCATCCCGTGTTGTTTGTGCAAATGTGAAAAGGGCTGGACGCATAAAAAAATGGGAAAAAAACGTGTTCAAAGTTTGAGTTTAGATATAAATGTTTATGTTGATTATTACTGGCTGTCAAATGAGATACAGGTAATGGTATAACATTGTTTGTCATCCATTCTCTGTTTTTTTTTTAGAAAGAAAACACCTTTTTAGAAAGGATTTAACCCTAAGGCAGGCCAGAAAACAATTCTAGAAAGTGTGCATTCATAGAGATGAGCAGTAATCAGATCTTATTCATATAGATTTAGACTACACCAGTATTGAATGGATACTTGGTGTGGGCCAGTTTGAAAGTACAAGTATAATATATAGTCTGGTGTAAAGGTTTATGTTCATATTGCACTGTCACCACAAACTCTTTGGGCTTGGTTTCTTATTCTGTATTTCCTCCATGTTGTACAGAACATCACATCATTGTCCTCTGTGGTAGCTTCAACCCCCCCAAATCATGAAACAGCAATCTACATTAAAGTAAAACAAATTTTTTGGAAGAACATTTTGTTCATTGAGCTATTTTAAGAACCAGCCCAGGGGCTGAAATATGATGATCTGATTGTTCAAGTCTGATAAATTATTTTAAGCTTTGCCTGATCTGTTCCCTTTATGTCGCTTTTGTTATTGTGCAGATATGTTCAAACAGCAAAACAGACTCCGTCAGGATTTAAGGACATGGTTGGAATAGGATTATCCGCAGAGATCACATTATGATAAGGAGACAGTGGGGAATAGATAACACAGCATGTTCTTATTTAAAGACTAAACAGAGCAGCTCTTGTTTTAATATCAAACTTTCTTTTAATGTCTGATGCAGAAATTGGAGTCTGGCCTAAACAGCCGGTGTTTGTGTCCAAACACAGATTCAGATGGTCAGTTCTGGGCTTTTCGTCAGTATGCAAATCACGTCAGCTGGCCAATTGTTCAGCGTCACGACCACCAAACAAAGCTCAAATTCATCATGCGCGTCTGCTGATGGAGCAGGCAACGACAGACCGCCAAGGCAAAGTCTGCTCCTCTATGGGACGTATTGTTGTACGCCAATGCAGTCTGAGTCATCCACCGTGAGCGCCCTCCTCGTGGAGGCTCCAGAGCTTGCCAACACCCACCAACAACGGCTGTCCACTTGGTTATAAAATCCCTCCTACATAGAAACAGTCTGTCGGTGGCTGTTTTTTAAACTACTATGGACTGTGTTGATTGATGGATTCTTTAATCCTGTATAATCAATTTGAAGAAATGTTCTTCATAAAAATCTGCACGTTCTTCCTTCAGAACATTTTTAAATAACACAAATAACAGGCTAACTTTTGTGTTTAGCTGTAGTATATAGAGCTTTTTATGTCGTTTCATGAAAGTGGGGAGTCATTTTGAAATGATGTGATTAAAACATAAAGGATATTTCATCCTGTATATCATTTTGGACTTCTGAAGTTGAGGACTTTTTCTCTTCACCTCTTTTTGTAAAATGTTCAGCAGGAGGAAGGGCTTCAGACTATTTCGAACTATATTCCAATCTTCTTTGCACTTTTTCTTAATTATCCAATACACCATGGTTTGCTATTCATGTGTTTACTGCATACACATTTATTTCCCCTTTTTAACCCCTTTAATAAATAAAAAAAACACCCTTCAAATAATGATCACACGTTAGCTAACAGTTTGTATCCTCAAGATCATTCAATCATTTAAAACATTTCCTTTATTTTTCTTTGTTTCAGCTCTTCACTAAGTGTTTGGATGTTTCATTTTCTTTTGTATTCCCTCTTTCTTTCTCTGTACCTAAAGTGAGATGAAATCATAAAAAAAGTGCTGAAATATTTTTTATATTGCTTGTTATATTCTACATTTATTAACCTTTCATATTTTATTATTTGATATTTTCTACTGCTATAGTCACTGTCCGTTGGGATAAAGGAAGAATTTCAACCACAAACAACATATTAAAAGAGAAAACGTTATATCCGGCAGCCATCTTTGGTATCCTACTGCCCCCTGCTGGGTGAACCCGTGCATGCAACTACCAGAATGACTAAAATACGTCACATCCGCCTGGGGAGCGTCCACTTTAACACACAGCCGGTGAGAGAGAAGGTGAGTTTTCTGCATCGGCGTCCATCCAACTTTATTTCTATAATTTTTAAAGTTTATTCCTGAAAATAAATAATCTTTGAACTCAGAGTTCTTCAAAGATGGCGGTTTTTGTTGACGGAGTTGTAGTTTTACAGGTTTTAAATTAGTCTCGAGCAGATGTTGGTGTTGAACTACTCTTAGCTAACGTGTTGGTGTTTTTTTTTTTTATCACTGCTAATATTTATTACTATGTTTTATTTACAGATTTACAAGAGAAGACGTGGAAAAAGTCAAGGAACAAGAAAGGTAAATATAATTGTTGTGTTTTTTAAACCCTCGTGTAGTGGATATGTGACGTGTATGGATGTTTATGCACTAAATGACGAACATTAGGGTTACATGTGTGATCGTGCAGACCTTCCAGCGAGGCTCAGCCTGCAGTGGCTCTGATCTTTCCTTCAATGTCTGCTAGAGAGACGTGAGGCCGTTTGAGGCCCTGCTGTGTGCTCCTCATGGCAGGGTTATAGGTAAACCTCCGACAAAACACACAAGAAGGTCATTGTAAGAGTCCAGGTATTATTAGTAGCGAATAGTCATTGAGCTCACCTTTTTATTCTGAGTTCACTCCTCATGATGCATTAAGTGTTAGAGGTTACTTTGTGTATGAACAAGAAGTCTTATTGTGAAATTCTCCTTTACAGGATGCAGATGAAGGATGGTGTGTCTCCGCTCAGAGCTCCTGACTGACATCTGAGGCTCCTCAATGACTTCAGGTCAGTATTTGTGATATAAAGACAAAACTTAGTGTTCAGAACAAACTGAACTTTTAAAGATGCGAAGATAAAATGTCTCTGACTCGTCTCCTGTCGTTAAACTGCTTAAACAAAAGTCTAAAAGCAGTTTTAGTTGAAGGTTATCATTACATTTGATCGATACTTTTCTGAACCTCTCAAAGTTCAAGGTGCATCGTTAACGAGGTCTGAAGCTTTGCAGGGAGAGGAACACTTTGTTTAGAATTCAACAATATAAAGAGTTAGAGCTGTACTCGGATACTGTTGTTACATGAGTACTGTAATCATCGTGCAGACCTTCCAGCGAGGCTCAGCCTGCAGTGGCTCTGATCTTTCCTGTAGTGTCTGCTAGAGAGACGTGAGGCCGTTTGAGGCCCTGCTGTGTGCTCCTCATGGCAGGGTTATAGGTAAACCTCAGACAAAACACAACGTTAGTCACTGAGAGTCCAGTTAGTACTCGTAGAGGATCATCTTTGAGCTCACCTTTATTCTAAATTCACCTCGAGGTGACGCTTTTGAACCTTTCCATGTGCCAGAAAGTCATGACGGAGTGTTCACTGCTGCACAAGATTATGTTCAAGGGTTTTTTTTTTTTGGGTGCACTACTGCTGCAACATCGACTTGATTTAAGAATCACAACATACAGAACAAGGCTTACGTAATCACATGAGATTACATGTGAAAATATGTTTAAAATGTTGAAATATGACTTTAAGCAAAAGTAAGAAACTTAAATACTAAATAAATGACCTCGGTTATAAATGTTTTACATCTTTCTCTTGTTTTCATGTGTTTAGACTTTAACTGGCCTTTCTTTTGAACTTAGCACTTAATAAAATCACTACTTCAGTATTTAAAAAAACAGATATAAAGACATAATTTGGTCAGATGTTCAGAATGACTTTGCCGTGTTACTTTCTCTACTGCACTCCTCATGATGCATTAAGTGTCTTTAGTTAGTTAGTGTATGAAAGAACAAGTCTTATTGTGAAATTCTCCTTTACAGGATGCAGATGAAGGATGGTGTGTCTCTGCTCAGAGCTCCTGACTGACATCTGAGGCTCCTCAGTGACTTAAGGTCAGTATTTGTGATATAAAGGAGAGGAACACTTTGTTTAGACTGCAACAACATAAAGAGTTAGAGCTGTACTCAGATACTGTTGTTACATGAGTACTGTAATCATCGTGCAGACCTTCCAGCGAGGCTCAGCCTGCAGTGGCTCTGATCTTTCCTGTAGTGTCTGCTAGAGAGACGTGAGGCCGTTTGAGGCCCTGCTGTGTGCTCCTCATGGCAGGGTTATAGGTAAACCTCCGACAAAACACAACGTTAGTCACTGAGAGTCCAGTTAGTACTCGTAGAGGATCATCTTTGAGCTCACCTTTTATTCTGAGTTCATTGACTCACTGCACTCCTCATGATGCATTAAGTGTTAGAGGTTACTTTGTCTATGAAAGAAAAAGTCTTATTGTGAAATTCTCTTTTACAGGATGCAGATGAAGGATGGTGTGTCTCCGCTCAGAGCTCCTGACTGACATCTGATGCTCCTCAATGACTTCAGGTCAGTATTTGTGATATAAAGACAAAACCTAGTGTTCAGAACAAACTGAACTTTTAAAGATGCTAAGATAAAATGTCTCTGACTCGTCTCCTGTCGTTAAACTGCTTAAACGAAAGTCTAAAAGCAGTTTTAGTCGAAGGTTATCATTACATTTGATCGATACTTTTCTGAAGCTTTGTAGGGAGAGGAACACTTTGTTTAGACTGCAATGATATAGAGAGTTAGAGCTGTACTCAAGATACTGTTGTTACATGAGTACTTTAATCATCGTGCAGACCTTCCAGCGAGGCTCAGCCTGCAGTGGCTCTGATCTTTCCTGTAGTGTCTGCTAGAGAGACGTGAGGCCGTTTGAGGCCCTGCTGTGTGCTCCTCATGGCAGGGTTATAGGTAAACCTCCGACATTTCCATTTTGGTTGCAGCAAAGCAAGCGAGATGAGTAGATGATTGAAGTTGTACTCCTCCAGCGTCCTCCATTATCTTACTGAAATGAGAACATGTTTTGTTTTCCAGGAGTGATTAATTCAGCTCTGTGATCAGCGGCTGCAGACGTCGGGCATGTTGAACGTCTCTCTGGAGGTAAGATCATTTGAACTCTTCAATGTTTTTAGTAAAGCTAGATTCAAAGAAATGAACTGCATGTATATACAGTCCAGCTCAGTGAGGTATGAGCTGATGTGTCCTTGTAATGAAGATAAATGCACCTGAGAATGCACTAAGAATTGATGAATCCTGTTATTGTTCTCCACAGACTTCCTGACAGCCCCAAAAAGACTTGATGTGTCCGTAACCGTGACGACTGATGTTAACTGTGATCTTCAGGATTATCTCCAGCAACCAGACTTTGACCCAGGTGAAGAAACAATAAGACTTACTGTAGTGTTTTTTTTTCGTTTTTTTTAAAGAATGAAATGTGTAAAATAATCTCCTTCTTTCTCTGCAGATTTTTCCTGCGAGTCAAGGAACCGGCTCGTCTGCTGTTTGGCTGTCTGACAGTCAGATCATGTGGTTTTGTGTCATTGGCACACTTTTGGAAAAGGTGACTCATGTAATGTGTATTTATAAGTAATAACAGAATGACGCAATGTGGAAATAAACATCTGAAACAAACCTGCTGTAGTTTGGGCTTTATTAGTGTCTGCATGATAAACTGTGTTCAGGTAATACAGCTCAGTGTTGTGATGGATCATGTTGTGTATTTGTCACATGCTCATACAGATGTGCTGTGAACTGTACTGGTGTTTAGTTTGTGAGAGAACAAGAAGTGAATTCACTGCAGCTGGTCTCGCATCCCTCAGTAAACTGTCTGTCCCTTTGTGGAGCATGATTTGCATTAACTCCAAAATGATTTAAATAAACCTCAACCTGATTTTAATGACTGTCAACCAAAATAACCGATGTTCTTGTCCTGATTGAGTAGATAAACGGTGTCATGTTCCTCTTGGGATAAATCTATTAAGTTGTTTTTACAAAAGTAGCATGATCAGTGGACTTAAGAAAAAAGTTGTTGCATGAAACCTTCGCCTCCCCCATATTTGTTGAAACCCAAATCTGTAAACCCCATTATGCTTGCTTTTCAAGTCTTAACTCGTAATACAGAAATCCCTCTCCACCCTTCTTGTTTTTATTTATTAGATTATGTCGGCATCAGTCTTTTCCAAATGAACTGAAAACACATTTTGTTTGCTCTGAAACCAATGAGTCTGTAATAGTGATCAAATTCCAGGTGAGGGAGAAACTGCACTCGTCTGTTTTGTAAGTCAGGATGTTTTAACATGAGAAAATAACATTTAATTTTGACGTACAGTTTAAATTATTTTAATAAAACTAATTACAAAGCAGTTCCTCCATCAATTCATCTTGTATCCTAAACATGTTTGTAGACATTTAAATATTTGTAATAAACCGGGTAGATTTCTAATATGTTCCCGGTACTTCTAATACTTTTAATACAGCCGATATTTTATTCTTCACTTTTATTATTAAAGTGTAGGCGATTCAAATTTGGTATTCTGTTTTGAACTGTTTACCTGAAGCGGATGTGACGTCATTACTTTCGGTATCGTCTCAACTAAACAAACGTCATGACGTGACATTACAAAGAGTGAGCTCCAACAGAGTAAGTAACAAACCCGAGTGACTAAAACAAACATTTACTACTTCTTTTTGTTTCCTTTATGCTCTATGAGGTTTTTTTGTTGTTGAAAAAACGAATGTTTAACCGGAAATAAGAACGAGTGAAGTCATGACCAGACTCACCTGTTCTCTCAGTTCTACATTTGTATTTCTCCATCTCTTATCACTGCTAAAAAAAAAAAACCTTAGCCTTTACGTTTCCAGGGAAACTCTCTGAGAGTAAAGAAGTGAAAAGAATGAGTCTAGTTTGACCTGAAAGCTCTTAACTTTCAGTTTCGATGAAACAGTTTGAAGTTTCATGTTGGTCCTGGTGTCAAAGTAGAACATCGAAAAACGAGTCACTATGATGTCAAAGATGACTGTATTATTGTTTCTGATGTATTAGTTATACACTACTTTATTGCACTGTACTACTTTATTTTATTTTCCGCAAGTTTGAGCTCATTTTAAAAAAAAGCTGTTTATATTTCTGTTTGTGAAATATTCATAATTTCATTTATGTAGGTCTTTCAAACAGGGTTAAAAAGTGATCTACACATGGAATTAAAATGCCAAGATGAAGGAGAAGTGTGAGGAAGACTGTGATTAAAAATGTAAAAATGATATAGTCAGGGGCTAAGAGAGAGGGGTCCTCCTTGTTGCTTTTTTTTCCTGCATTTTGAACCATTTCTAATCAAAGACAGAATGTGTTTTATTTCTCGATCAGTTTGAGGAAACCTCAGTTGTTTCTTCTTGCAGTTGTTATCATGAACTCTTTGGTTGTTATCGCCCTCTACTGACCGACTGAAGGAACTGCAACAGTGTCAGGGTGTTATATTGTAAACTGAGGGTCTCTTAGGTCTTTTCTAAGACCCTATAAATTCAGCTACATCACACTTACAAACTCACGGCTTGTGTATCATCCTATAAAATACCAAACACAACCTGTAGACCAACGAAAACGTTCAACAGACACAAAAAGTATACAACAGAAAAAAACACTACTGATGTTACTTTACACCATGCGTTAAGAAAAGAGAGGTTTTAGCCAACCCACTCCCATGCTCATGTGTTTTCCCATAATGCATCCCTGTTTCAGATCAGCCAATCAACACATCAATCATTAACATAATGGAGTAAAGAAGTCGTGCTTTTCTGTCCCACAGTTGCTGCTCCAGTGTGTCGGTGGTGAATCATCAACGATATCATGAGGTACCTGAACATTACCAACACATTTATAATTTCCCCCTTAGGTTAGACCAAATTCTAAATCATTGCTCTGACAGTCCAGAGCGAGCTGAGCCGCTGGAAGCACACACATTGAATAAAGTAAAAACCTATCAGCTCCGAGACGTACAGAACGTGCATCTGGTGGAATTTAGGCTTTAAGTGTCGTCCTTTTGTCGTATTGTTTTCATCGTTTAGAAAATGTGTGATGGATGACTCCTCTTTAGAGACCGGTGGGTGACGTCACTGAAACTACGTCCAGTCGAGAGTTTGATCAGATTCATCATTCTGAAAGGTTTGTCTGCTGTTCCTCGTGTCATCCTGATGATGATTCCCTCTCCTTTTTTTTTTTTTATCCCCAGATGGATTTCCCCGTGGAGGCAACAGTACATTTGAATAGTTTCCCCGATAAAAACAAGGTGAGACAAATCCTCTGCTCAAATGGCTTCAAGTTGAAAGAGATGGGACGCGATCAGGTGCGCGTCAAGGGGTCGTTTCTGAAACTTAAAGCAGTGAAGGCCTCTTTGGAGCAATTTTTACAATCTAAACCAGACGTCGCTCCATCCTCACCCTCACGGGCTCTGAAGGTTTCCTCTGGAGCCATTCCCAAACACTACGCCAACGCTCATGGTACTACAGGCCGATCAGGATCCCCCAAAAAGTCTCCACATGCTTCTCCATCTTCACCCACAATCATGTCACCTTTTGCATCCGGATCCAATCGTCCGATCTCTCCAGAGCACAGGAATTCTTTTTCTCCAAGGCCGGACCGAGGTGGCTCGTTCAGGCCGGGAAAGGAATCCTTTCTGGTTGATGCTGATGTGTTTTTGTACGCAGAGCAGCTCAGGAAAAGAGATATTGACTGCATCCTGGAGGGCCATAATGTCAAAATGCAAGCCGAGGAAGATACTGAAGACAGCTGCACGATCACTTTGATGGGAAAGAGTGCAAGAATAGCTGTGGGGAAACTCCAGAGTCTCCTGGATGATCTCGGAAAATCACTGCGCACTCAGGAGGTTCCTCTGAGGGATCTGGATCACGAGGGCCGAGATCTTTTAGAGCGCATTCGGAAACATAAAAACATTTTTGATTCAGTGCTCGTGCGTGAGAAAAGTGACCGACTCCACCTCGTAGGAGGGTCTGGTGAGAGCTACAGCTTGAAGCAAAGGCTGCTGAGGAAATCGTCTGACCAGTCAGGACGCACCGGGAGGACGCTGGATAGAAACTCCAGAGGGAGAAGCAGCTCTTTGCCACCAATCAGTCGCAGGAACACAGAAATAGAAAGGGGTGCTAATGCTAATCAATCGCCTGCGGGTGCTGCGGGCTACTCTCCGTCAAAGTACCAGGATGATGAACAGAAACATGTCGGGACCGAGAGGGCAGCTGCTACTCATTCTGGTTCAGGCGGATCTTCTAGGAGAAGAAGCCAATCAGAGTCCCGCAAAAAACCCAAGCCAGAGAAGACGAATGGACCGCTGCAAGAAAGAGCAAACAATCGAACTCCTGCTAAACTACCCAAGACACTCAAGCAGTTACTAACTGCAAAGACAGAAGATATAAAGCAGAAGTTTAAAAGTAGCTTGAGTATTAGAAAGAAAAAATGAGCCTGGACTTGACAGCACTGAGACCTTCTTTTTCTCTATTTTTGACCTTGATAATTTTTATTTGAAGTTTGAAATAACATTGCATATGAAACTTAAAGGCTTTATATGTGATTTTTTTGATCCAGCAGATGTCGCCCTTGAGCAGCAGCATGAAACAAAAACAACTCGCGCTGCATTGTTGTGTTAGCATGCTAATGCTAGCGATCTTTATTATGCTCGTATCTTCACACTGCATGTAAATTTACCTGAAATGAGCGTGATCTAGAAACACAGTTAAGCAGTGAGTACAGTATGTTATTCTTCTTTTCTCTAGTCCCTCAATTAAACAACTTTTATTCGTGAGCGGAGGAGTCAGCCGGCCGTCCCGGCGATGTAAACAAAGTGAAGATAGGACTCTGAAAACTCTGAAAACATCACAGACAGTGGGACTCTGGTGTTACTCCCATTGTAGACAGTCATGTTCTATTATATTATTATCTATATCTATCTAGTTATTTTCAGAGGATATACTTGATTTCTATTACATTTAAGTGTGAAACATCACATATAAAGCCTTTAACTTTGTTAGAAAGCTACAATCTTCTGTCCATTGTTACACTTTCTTTGTCAGCATGTCGGTTCATTATAAGTGCAGGAGATGGACAGAAGACTTCTTATAGATGACATAATTTAAAGTTAGTTTTGCAATTTGTGTTTAACTCTAACACACTAATGTCATACTCTGTGTCTTTATCCATTTTGTCACTGTTTTAACATTTTGTCAGTAGATTGAATTTTCAAATCCTCCATCACGGTTTCCTCAGGTCATGCTGATGTCCTAAAGCGGCCTACGGTCCACAGCCGGCCCCCCAAAGCTTCCTATCCGGCCCCCAGACTATAAATAACCTCGGGTGATTAAACAAAAAACATAAAATTAAAATCACAAGGCTGAAATACTTGTATGAGGTAAATTAGAGATTTTACATTTCTCCTCTGACACCAGCTTCTTCACATCAGGCTTGAAAGCTGTCAAGCTTATGAGCATACATATTTTAAAGTCCCGCCCCCACGGTGTCTAAGGTCGAAAGGCTCTATAGCACTGAGCCTCAGACGCCCAGATGTTTGATCAACAGTCCTAAACTTAATTAATTAATTCAGTATAATGTTCAGGAGAGGAAATGTGGAACATTTGTCACATTCAACATTTTGCAAATTTGGTTGCAAATGAATTTTCAAACATTTGGCTGATCAAATAATCGATTAAATGTATCTGTAGGTGTGATTATAGCTTTTCATTTTTGTGCCGCAGACGAATCATGACTTTTATTCTTCAAAAAGCAAAGTGTTCAAATCAAGCAACAACCTCCGGTGTTTAAAAATGAAGCCAATAAAAAGGTGCAAAATCCTGCAGTTCTTCAAGGGTCTGCTTGAGGCTGGCTTCAAGAACCCCAGTAGTCACATACACACACCACATAAAAAAAGGAACGATAAGTGTTATCCATAGTTGGGCGCGTAGCTGACATGATTGACAGGTGGGCGCCATGCAACGGTTCGTCAAAAGGCTTAAAACCCGCCTCAGCTCCAGCTCTCAGTCTGTCGTTAGGTTGATTGAAAGTTAGGCTGAAACAGCATTTCCAACATGGTGGCTGCTGCCGACGAGCCTCCAGAGCCCTCTGCAGGAACAGATGAGTGACATCACTCAGGCTTCAAACATTCATATTTACAGTCTGTGGTTCAAACTTAGATTACTTTAGCAAAATATTAACACATTTATTTACAATTCTAGACTAACACAATTGTATGTATTGTAATATTTAAAGTCTTTTCTGTAAATGTTAACATTATTCTGAATCTGTACTCTGGATTATCGCTTCTGGCTGCTAAATTATAACTTTTGTAAATATAAATAATTAGACACATTAATATACAGTAATAATAAAAAAGGAATTACTTGAAGTATCTGTAGGTGTTTATTAAATGTTTAAATAAGTTGAATACCTCTCTCATGTACATGTGTTTATGCCATGATAACACTGAACATCCAGGGCTCCTGCGTGTCTGCGTCGTTACTCTATCACCTGAACGCAACATCTCAATGGAAACAGACGTGAGAGGAAGTGTGAAAAGGAAGTGAAACGGTCTCTTAAAGACAACTATACTCATGCTCAGAGAGGAAGTCTTCAAGGCGGGTGAGAATCTAAAAGCAGCTGTAGTTAGAAGAGGATATCTGGATATTTAGATATCGTCACAGGCTGTCAAGAAACAGGAGCTCAGCAGTAGGACGGTGTTGTGTAGTTCTCGTAGTTATTGCGTCAGTGTGATGGTAAAATGCCTCGGCTCTCGTTGTCTAATCAGTGCCTGAATCAAATCTGAAATACAGAGCCTTCAAACAGGGCAGCACCTACAGTGTGACTACAAGAATGACTCAGAGTCTCCAAATCTTCTATTTTCTGGAAAGATCTGGTGATAAATATCTCGTACTGTGCAGAGTGCGTGCGGGGTTCCCCTGATTGTTTTGGTCTGTTGCCAAGGAATCCAAAACACTTCACGATATCTGATTGTCTGGACGTACTCAGTCAGCCTTTTAGATTTTTTATCATCACATCACTCTTTCATAATTACATAAAGCTATTCATGTGTTGTGACCCGGTTAGTCCTGGAGCAGTGTGAGTGCAGGCCAGTGGGCAAATGGGGAGATGGGACCCTAGGGCTACTGTCTGTTTTTTTTATAGTGCTTAATACAATTCTAGTTGTGTAAACTGTAAACATGACAAAACATGGAAGTCTACAATTCATTTAGCAGACGCTTTTATCTGAAGGGACGAACATCAGAGAGTAAGTTCAACACAACCCCGTCAGCAACCCGTCAAATATAAAGGGAAAGCAGTAACAACAACAAATGCAATAATTATCCAGCATTTTTTTTTATTGTGTTCTGGATGTGACTTTTATGTCAAGTAGCTAGCTGCAGATCCTCAAGAAAGACTCTGTTCATGAAGCAAACAATGTAGAGCTTAACTCAGAAAAAGCATCTGAGTCACGAGTCTGAGCTGTGTCACTGTGCCGCTGTTTGGAAACACAAAGAAAACACACCGATGAAACATGTTAAGAGAGTGCAAGTGCATGTTGAGCTTCACACAGTGCTGAGAGGTTAAAGGTTGAAATAATGATTCCCTCTGCTAATTCTAATAACTTTAATATCTGCTTCTACTTGGTCAGAGAAAGTGTTGAATCAACTTTGACAGTTTGTATAAATCGTAATTGTAGATATCGCAAAAAAAAAGAAAAGAAAAGAGAAACGCTGCCAGCTGTCAACAAAAATCAGCATGACTTGATGATTCTTGTAATAATTAAGAAAATAAGAGGACAGGTCCAATAAGGAAGACATGACAGAATGTTTTGTAGGTTTTGGTTGGCTGTAGGTAACTTTGGGAAAGTCCATTTGGGTGTTTGTCTTTATTTTGCTTTATTTATTCATTCAAATAAAATTAAGCTAACTCCCCAATAAGGACCCAAGACATGTTGGTCTTTGGCTTTTTTTTAATGCAAACTGTGAGACATTAGTGGAAAATGTCAGATGTTAGTCCACTGATGTGTTATTGAGAATCTGGGAGAATACAAACCTACTTAGTTGACTACTAACTGTAGGTAAATGGCTTCAATGTCATCAATGTTGAAAGTTGCACTTAAATAAAATGTGTTTATAATTTGGTTCTTCGACTAAAATGTAAAGAAACCAACCATGTTGTGTTAGCAAAACATTAGCCTCAGATGGCTAACCAAGTAGCCGTGACTGACTAGTTTGGCTGCCAACTAACGAAGTCCACAACATAAAAGTTATATTAAAACGGTTTCATGCTTCAACATTGATATTCAGGTAGGAGAAAAGAATCACAAAGCAAAGAAAAATGTTCATTTTTCAATGCTAGCTAATCTGTTACCGTTATGAAACTGTACAATCATTACCGTTATTTTTATTTTTTACTTTTGACCCTTTTATATAAAGTCCTACAACCCTTTACATACAACTTTATATTCTCTGATACCCCAGGACTGGTCTCTAGACTCTGGTAGCTACTTGTCAGGGACCAAAAACAAAGCAGAGAGATTAACTAGGCTGAAAAAATCTTGAAAAAGTTCCAGATTTTAAGAAAACAGTGATGTTGTGTTTGAGGGATTTACAAATCAACCATCTCTGGATTAGTCAGCTTCCTGTATCTCTGCACCTACACGTTCTTAACATGGCACAAACAATGGGGCTACCGCGAAACTTACGGGCTGTAATTTCCCAAAACACACAAATTAGTTTCTCAAGCTGCTGCTGGCTGTTCTACGAGTGGGAAACCTCTGATTTAAGGGGGAAAACCCTCAGGGACATGTTGTACTGCCAATGCCAAGTTAAAAAAAGGAAATGCCACGAACCTTCCCAAGAGAAAAAAGGCCATTTTCCACCCCAAAATTAGCAAAGATAAGTGCTCTTTTCTTGCAGTCTGTAAAACATGGGTGCATTTTTCTTACACACAAATGATAAGGCTAAAAATAAAATCTGTAGAGTCTTGTGGAGCGTCACATACATGTTTGGAAATGAAGAGGTCTTGTGGCAGGAAGAAAGAGACAGAAGCTGATGCAGAAGTGGTGAGTTTGTAAAGATAGCCTCCTTCTATTTATACAGAGATGTGTGTGAGGGCTTAGGCTGACTGACAGGATGACGTGCTGTAGCTTGCAGACCGCAGCGCTCTGTCACTCGCTTAAACACACCCTAAAAAAAAAAAAGCTTACCACGCCCACTGCCTGCACTACCGGGCCCCAGTAGTCGACCATACTTCTCTCTCTTCTTCCTCCCTTGAGCTGCTTTTTGTTCCTTTTCCCTGTCTGTCTTATTTTTATTTTAAAGCTCGCTGAAGGCAGGCCAGGATGGCGGAGCTGGAGGGCCTGGAGTTCGGGAAGTCGGACTTCGTGCTCCTGGATGAGGTGACGATGGAGCAGTTTATGGAGAACCTGAAGTTGAGGTAAGGACTGAGCGACTGTTAGAGAAAGAGGAAGGGAGGGGAAGCAGCTGGATCTCAGAGATGCAATGAGGAACGCCTCATACAAACCTGATGCATGTCTCTTTTTGCAAGTCTTTGTTCATCCTGCCAAGAAAAGTTAAAAATTAGAGTCAAACTTGTACAGTTTAGGATTATTATTACACTTTAACTCTCTTAAACTTACTTAAGTCTTGTATTGAATTACACATTTTACAATTTCTTGACGACTTCTTAAAGAAGGAGATATAATAAAGAAATAAAATTAACATAAAGAGGAAAAAGACAAATTGAAGTGTGAGTCACAACTACTGTTCCCGCTCTCTCACATTATTCAGAAATAAGCTTGTGGTTTATTTCATCATCAGCTCGCATCATACAAAGCACATTACCGATGACCACATTTTTGTCTCTTCCTATCTTTTTTCTCTCTGAGCCTGCCTCTATCACTCCTTCTCGGCCCATGCTGCCTCAGGATGTGGATGTTAACCAATGAAATGTTGGTGCCAATGTTGCCAAGTGCTTTCTCATTGGTGGTAAAAGTTTGGCGTCTCGAAATGATATAACAAAGAGAATGGTTTAGACTTGTCTTTGATACAAAGCACTCAAATAAAATGTATGCTTTTTATTTTAATGACACAGCTAGTCTCCACAAATCTCCCCAACTTTATCTTTTCTGGTTTTGTCTTGGCTACAGTGGTGATTCTAGTAAGTTGGGGGCCGTAGGCAAAAATGAACTGGGGGGGCCCCTCCAACTACCATTATGTCTGCCAGTGTCCTGACGTATATGTTCTTTTTCACTCTCAGACGGATCATTTCTCTTAATTTTCCTTCAGTGACTTGTATTGATAAAGTATGGTCTTCTCAGGAATATTACATGCGAGTGAGTGCTGCCAGATTGGGGCCCCATTAGAGAGGTTTCCTTCTGTCAATTCTATTGTTTCAGTTTTAAGTTTGTCAGCCCTTTGGGGACCCCTTACTGGACTGGGGCCCCAAGCTGTTGCCTGCCTTGCCTGTTGACCAGCAGCATCATTTAGTGTGTCATGCATTTGTGTTTTATTTATCACTGAGTACAGATTCAGATTCAGAAGGGCGACTCTGTGTCACAGCCTACCAAGCCGTTGAAAGAAGCCAAGACAATGATAAGGGAACAAACAGTCACAGCAGCGTTCAGACGATTACCTCCACATGTCAGTTACAACAACTCAACGGCCAATGAGAAGCCAGAGCTAACAAATCTACAAATACATCAATGAATGGACCTCACAGGTATCCTAAGTGTATATAGTAGCAGTCCAAATCAGAAAGTGTTATCTGGCTCTTCTAACTTCCTCAGTGGTATCTTGTCTGTAATTCAAACTGTTGGACATCACAGTGTCAGGAGAGGCACCAAAATGTCAAAGAATATCATATAAGCTCCAGATTCAGAGGGAAGATTTTGCGCTTTTCGGCTGACGGGAGCGCAGCTAATGCCTCTAAATGAACATTTTTCACATTCTTGCCCTGTCTGGGAGTCTGTCTGTCATCACTTGTTGGCAAATAGTAGAAGTAGCTAGAGTTTCGACACACTGCTTGATCAGACTTGTTTGATTGCAGAACACATGCAAAGGATTTCTCTTGATGTGTGCCTTCTTCTTTATCATTTATTGTTTCTCATTTCAACTTTGAGTGTGTTTAGATGTTTTTGCTCTCACACAGTTTTCTTTACTTGTTAGTGTTGGATAATCAGATGAGTGATTTTCTTCTGTGTTGGCTTTCTATCATCTGGATTTCTCTGATAAATACGAGCAGATTTCTATGAGAATTTGTTGACTGAGAGGCGTTTTTCTGAGTTTTTCACCATTACTATAATCTAAAGTTTGAACTGTTAAACTAGCAGAGATCCAGACTTGATTCAAACAAGACATTGATTTAAGGGGTAGAGGTCGTCTGGTTTTACCAACAATTATTCAAGGCAGTAGAAAGTTTGTGCTCCCCGGGTTCTGTCCTGTTCTTAAAAGATGAAGTCTCCCATGGACTCGCACAACTGTGGTCTGATTGGTCAGTATATCACCAGGAAGGAGACTAGTCCGACTTCTCCATTTAAGTGGCACCAAAGACAACTCCCACTTAGAGCGCCCCTTACATGTGTTACTGGCAGTTCTAGTTCAACCCTACTGCACTATTACATTCAGAGATTATTTAGACTGTTAAGAAGGGGGGGGGGAGGTTAATGACTCAGGTGCAGCTGTAATCACCTTGAGCTATAAGATCAGGCAGGGCTTCGCCTGGATGTTGCTCACACAGACATGCCCTTTACCCAACCTGAACTCAAAGCAGAACCAGCTTTCACTTCCCACATGACATCCCATCACTGAAACTAACGGTGCTTTTAGGTGATAGGTGAAGATATCAGTCTAAAACAAAGGTTGTGACTTTTTCATGGGCAAGCAAATCGCTCAGTTTCACTTAACTTGGGTAAAAAGTTCAATTTCTTGCTTGTAAGATTCCTCTCGAATATCTGATCTGGTAGTGGTCGCATGAAACCAAAACAAACTTATGTTTGGCAAAACCTCCGCACATACTGTAGCCTCCGCTCTCCTCCAGCGACACACCTCCAACCCCCCTCTCCTCACGTTCACATCGAGGAGTTATCAAATGGTGCTTCAAAAATTAAGCACCATTAAGCTCAAGCGTGGACAAAATCGCCCTGGATTGTTGTGTTAGCAGGCTAATGTTATCTTGTAGCGTCACATTGCATTTAAATTTACACAGACTGATCGTGGTCTAGAAACATTTACATGACATCCAAATAAGCAGTGAGTATGTTCATCTTCTTTTCTCTAGTCCTTGACCTTGGCCATGTAAACACGATGTAAACACAGCCTGACAACAACACAGCCTGTGGGACTCGGGCTTCCATCAGGTCTGCCCCCTCTGTGGACTTTGTTAACCCTAAAACACTAACTAACAGTTTTACAACACCATCACTAAAGTCAGGTATATTTTACCCGATAGGCTATAATACTCCTGATAAAATATTTTCCTCAAAATATATTAAAGTACAACAATACATGGAGAATTGAAGTACTCTTCGTTTATTTCCCCGTATACAGAGTCTCATAAAACGAAATAAAAGGTATCATGAGGGGACCAT